GATGGACCCTTGTACGCAGCCCTTCTCCGTGTCCCTTACAATCTCCTCTCCACAGTAACGCACTCTCACCTTCCTATCGCCCATGTAGCTTTCTAAGAGCCTCCTAATGTTGATGGGGATTTGTTCCTCCGCCAGTCTAGTTTTTATACGCGGCCACCATGCGTTATCGAAGGCCCCCTCTATATCCAGGGACACAAGTGTTAGCAATTTTTTGCGTGCTAGCCCCTGTCTGATGTGATTGACCAGGGTATAGAGGGCGTCTTCAGTGCTGCGCTGGGGCATGAAACCAAACTGGCGGGTGCTTAACCTGGGCGCTAGGTGGTGTTTTAATCGGGCGACTAGCATCTTCTCCAGCACCTTCCCAAGCACTGGGAGGAGGCCTATTGGGCGATACGACCGTGGGGTTGTATAGGTGTTTTTCCCCGGTTTACGGAGAAATATCACCATCGCCTCCTTCCAGGGCGTGGGAAAGTGCCGGAGTTCGAGGCACCTGTTGAAGAGGGCCAGGGAAAGGTCGGGGTCGCACTCTATCGCGTTTACGCATATGTCCGCTGTAAATCCATCCGATCCCGGTGCCTTCTTCGGATTTAGGGATCGACTGGCCAACTTCAACTCCACTGGAGTGAAGGGCGGGTCCCATACATCCGAAGAGGTTTCGTCACAGGAGTGCTTGGCCTGTACCCTCACCCTTCGGTGCTCCTCGGTGTCATGTTCCTCGGAGTCCTTAGGGTAAAAGGTTTCCGCCATGAGCCTCACTGAGCCCTTTGCGTCCAGCTGTATGTTGTCCACGATCAGCGGTGGATCCTCCTCTCTCTTGGACGTTCTGCCCAGCACTCTATAAATACCCCCCCATACTGTTTCCCCATCTTGGCGTTCGCAGAACTCTACCCAGCTGCGCGTTTGCGCTTGCCTGGCCTCGGTTTCGTATCTCGCCTTTGCATCGAGGTAAGCATCGACCACCATCCGACGCCTAACCGGTGCCGCGCACCTAATCCTACTTTTCTTGGTGGCCACCTCGCGCTTGAGCGCTGCTAGCCCCTCGGACCACCACGGCATGGTAAGTACTTCTTTATGTTTTATTTTAGGTATTGTTTTACTGCATGCTATATTTATTGATTTATTAAAGTTTATTATTAAATTATCCAATTCTATTTTTGAGTTTAAGTTTTTAATTTTCTCTATTGTAATATTATTTTGGCCTATAATTTGACCCAGTTTCTCATGAAACTGGGTCCAATTTGCCTTTTTTGTAAAGAATCTACGAGTAGTCTGCCTAATTTTATTAATGTTGATGTTTTTAGCTTTGATTGAAAAGGTTATGCCGTTGTGGTCCGAGCTGGTCAGGTCTTCGCGCACGCGCCAGTCGTCCACCAAGCTAAGAAGATCAGGTGATACAGCAGTTATGTCAACATAACTGCTATACCTTACGCCGCCACGGATAGTGTCGAATGTTGGGATCTCCCCTCTATTCTAGATGCAGAGACCGAGATCCTCCAAAGTCCCGTGCATATCTACGCCTCGTCTATCCGTACTAGGGCTCCCCCACCATGCGCTTTTTGCATTGGAGTCTCCCCCAATGATCATACTCCAATCTCCCGTTTCGCGCTGCACCCGGCGTAGATGTGCTAGATACGAGTCCATCGGCAAGTCAGGCTCGAAGTAGAAGGAGACCAGGACGATTTCCTTTGTGCGGATTCGGATCCCCACCACTACGATGTTATTTGTGGTGAGTTCCGGGTACTGTTTTATGTATGTGTCCGCATCAAAGACGATTATTGCGGCCTTAACAGTCCCATTTCCGCGATCCGTTGTTTTCCGCTGGAAAACCCTGATCCCCCTCTTCCCCCTCACACAGTCCTCTTTGCCGACGTATGGCTCTTGTACCAATGCCACCCACGCTCCGAGTTTAGGGGCTTCGACAAGCAGCTCGGAGTATGCCAACTTGCTGCGATGTAGATTGGCTTGGAGGAGGTTTTTTACGGTCTTATCCATTGGGGCGCCCTTAGCAATATGCAACAGCTGATCGGGCTATTTCGTCCCACCTTCTCCTTACCGGACAATCCTCGCTAAAAGCATTGTGTTCAGCATTGCTGTGCTTCGCCTTACGGCAATTAATGCAAGAGGGTGGGACCTCAGTTCGCGAATCAGGGCACTCCACTCGGAGATGCTCGCCACCACAATGACTGCATAAGTCCACCAGGTCCTTACAGTACTTGCGTGAATGACCATAGCCCAGACATCTACTACACTGGACCAAAGGTGACTGGTCCTCAGCCCTAATCCACTGGAGATCGATGCGAACCGTCTGTTTTTGCGTTATTTTACTCCAGAGGATGGGCGAGGTGCCGATCACTACATGCGTTGTGTGCGGATTCCTTGCCCTCTTCCTATACTTAATTATTATGCGGTCATCCTCGGGGCCGAGGCCGTCAAACAGTCCCCTATTCTGGTTTCTCAGGGCCTTCGTTATATCCTCGTCGGTATAGCGCGTAAGAACGCCTCTGAGAACCAGAAGTGGGTCCCGGTTTTTGGCGTCCTCGACCACGAGGCCCGTTCCTTCCTTTGACATCTTGTCCTTAGCCTTTTGCCTCTCCTCCTCATTCCTAAAACCCATGATTACCTTCCTGTCCTTCGCCTTCCTGACTCTCTCCACCTTTATCCATCCTTCCTTTGCTTCCATCGTCTCTCTTATTCTTTCAAGTACATCTTCCCCTGAATCCTTCTCGTTCTTGGAGGTAACGACCACCGATTGCAGAGCCTTTGGTCTTACTTGCTGCGGAGCCACAGCGGCTACATTGGCGTAGCTACGCTGATGTGTCTCCATCGCGTCGTTATACTTCATCATCTTCTCCCCGAGAGCCCGAGTACACTCCGTGTTCTCTAGGAGAAGCCGAGTGAGCTCATCTATCTTTTCGACCGGAACTTGGGCCCGGTTTGGGTCCAGGGGCGCCGTGGGTGCGAGGTCAGTATTTGTACCGACCTCCACCCCACCCACGGGGCCCCCGGTTCCCCTCCGGGCCGTCGCGACCTCTGAGATGGACTCGGGGTCGCGTGCCAATTTTTGGATCCATGCTTTGACCCGCTGCAAGCTTATTTTGAAATCTCTTTTAAGGTTTCCTGAACCTTGTATTACTGTCTCTACCAGGTTTTCCATTTCTTGCGCTCCTTGCACTCTGTATCTTTGAGTGGCTGTCATGGGTGAGTGGGCCTGTATGAGCTTCCCCTCTTTAGGACCTTCCTTATCCTTTTTTCCGATTTTCGCCTTGGGGGTGACTGGGGCGCCCTGCGCCTTTGTAGAGACAGAACCGGGCGCTGTCGTCCCAGACTCCTCCATGGTACGTTTTTCTACTTCTGTTCCCTTTGTCCTAGAGGGGGGAATACTCGAAGATGCAGTGCCCACTTTACTTGTCTTAGGAGGTGTGCGATGCATGTTGGAGGTTGCGTCAATTTTAAGAAAATATAAAATAGTTATTAGTTTTTAATGTTATTTATTTAAATTGTATATGTATAAGTCGAAGTCAACTATCTAATATTCCTGCAATAGCAGTTTGTAAATAATGTAAATATGTAAATATTAAATTTTCACAGTCCTTAGATCCTATTTAACTTAACTATACTTATACTATAAAGGTTTCCGCTCTCCGCGGTCAAAATGTAGAGATACTCTATCTCGACTCTAGGTAGAGTCTTGTTCTGCACTATCTGAAAGGCCTTCAAAGGGGCCATAGAATGAAGAAAACCACGTCGCGCTATGACCAGCGGTTACCGAGATATTCGAGTTTGAAATTTTCCAAGATGGCGTCAGATAATAAAACTAAGTCTAGATTTACTTTCAAAAAATTATATCTCCGGAACCACTAGGCGCAGACTAACGTTCGATAGCTCTCCGTACTGGTCTCGACGAGCTCTATCATAATATAATACAAAAAAGGGGAGATTTTTGACGACTCTACCTAGAGTTTTTAACAGCCTACAATTGTAGCCCTGGTCTTAACTAAGAGAATATAAACAGTCGCAATTTTCTACGATGATCCAAACTCGAGATATAATACTTTTAATAGTTGCAAATGGCGGACAGTATGGCCGCCAAAAGTCAAAAACGTGATTAAATCCTATAATCTTGCTCGAAATAGCTCAAGTTTGGGCTCGATCGATCGTTCTTACTATGTACTCTTCAACTAATTTCACAAAAAAAAATTTTAATAACAATCCCCGATTTATGGGGTGTAAAAAACAGTTAAATTTCACTAAAAAAGTAAATAAAGTAATAAATACTGAGTCAAAAATTTCTCTAAAAAATTCTTAGGGCTAAACTTATTGTCTACTAATTTTCTATAAGGGTTGTGATTTAATTTCTTAAGGGGTTGTCTCACCACGTGTGCACCCTTAATTTTCAAAAAATCGTATCTCAGAAACAACAGCTTCAAAAAATTTTAAATTTAGAATATACTTAGAACTAATTAAGGTCTACAAAATGCAATAAGATTTTTGGGGGGTCAACGATCTTAATTTCGAGAAATACAATTTTTAAAACTAACAAAATTTAAAATTACAATATCTCTACAACCACTTATCAAATTTTAACGTTCGAGGTGTCGTTGAACTGCTCTCGTCGTGCTCCTCCCGATGAACTTGTCTGCAGCGCCCCCTGGCGCCGGGAAGTCGAACCACGTGGCCACGTGGTTGTCAGTTTCTCTTACTTATCTCCGCGCGCAGGCGCGGGAAAAATCATCACCAAGTATATTCTTGTATAGTTCAATGAGGCGCGTCAGATGACACCATAAAAAGCTTACGTTGTCGATCTTGTTTAAGCAGCGTTCAACGTTAAAGTTTTATATTTCTTAAAAGTTCCGGTTTTTCGGCGATTAAAAATCCCAATTTTTCACGTATCACCAAGCACTTTACACCACAGTATAGGCCGCACTAACACGCACATTTTGATGTATCACATGTTAAAATCGGACCCTATAAAACCACTTTTCTCGATTTTTAAAACTTCACGTGTTCACAAGTGCACGTTCTATATGTCTTCCTGCTGTGAGGTCTGGGCTTTGTTTCTGGTTAGGTTAGGTTAGGTTAGGTTAGGTTAGGTTTTTTTTTTTTTTTTTTTTTTTTTTTTTTTTTCTGTTCTAATACCTCTGACATAATCAGAGACTTTGTTTACATATCATCTTTATTGACTTGTATTTTGTGCCAGGATATAAATGTATTTCTTTACATTTTATATTACTTAAAAAAATATTATACTTAACTTTTCTTTAATCATATCAACTTACAACTAATAGCTCTTATGAACTAATAACTCTTATCGACTATTACTTATAATTCTCAAAATGATTTTTTTTTTTTTTTTTTTTTTTTTTTTTTAATAATAAAACTAATCAATCAACTAAACTAAACATTTTGTATTCTATTTATTTTGATTTACTGTTATTTTTACTAATTTTTTACAATATTCCAAAAACTTATCTCTAATTGTATTGTCCTGTAATATTTTATTCAAGTTTTCCTCCTTTACATCATAATTTATTTCTAACTCCAAATTTAGTCTCTCTCTCAGGTACTTGGGGCAGCTAGTTATTATGTGTAAAGAAGTTTGGTCCACATCCGGGTCGCAGTCGCACGACGGGCTGTCCTTGCACTTGAATCTATTCAAGTAAAAGGAGAACCCGCCGTGTCCGGTCATCAATTGGGTTATCAACGGGTCCGTTTTTATTTCTTTTAATATTGGGTAGGCGGTTATTGCATCCGGGAAAAATACTTTGGTGGTGGCCGCTGTTTCACCACTTTTATACCTCTGGTTCCATTCGTCAAGCGACTCCAATCGGATTTGTCGCTTGACGAATGAGACTGGGCATTTGCTATAATTAGATTTAGTTTTGAGGTTCGTTGCCGCTTTTGCCATAATATCGGCGCGCTCATTTCCTTCTATCCCTGCGTGGGCCTTAATCCAAAAAAGACGGAGCCGTCCTCCTCCCTCCGTTATTCTCTTGATATTTGTCCTTGTTTCTACGGCCAGAGGATGTAGGGATGTGGTGTTTTTTACAGTTTCTAAGGCCGATAGGGAATCGCAGTACACATTAGTTTCTTCGGCGCCTCTCTTTATTGCCTGTTCAGTGGCTTCCTTTAGCGCTAGAAGTTCTGCCTGGTAGACGGTGCAGTACTGATCCAATTTAAGTTTTCGGGTACTTATTTCCGTGCCATTTTCCCACAGAGACAATGCCGCGCCTACTTTCCCCTCCAACTTACTGCCATCTGTATAGATATTTAGGCCTGTGGTGTTGTATTGGTTCAGTTCTGCCTCGTCCCCCAGGCATGTGAACTGTAATTCTTCATATTCCGCCGGGTGATTACAGCTTCCGAAGGGCATCTGCGTCTCGATTTCCCTATCGCCTACTATTCTCGTGGAATAACCTCTCTTTATAATATAAAGCGAGGCTGCTTCCCTGACTCTTATGTCGAGAGGAAGCAGGCCCGCGAGCAGAAGGGCTGAATTTAGGGATACTGTTCTGTATGCCTTGACAATCTTTTGAGCGAAGCCTCTCTGCACAACATCCAGACGCTTCCTTATTCCCAATTTTTCTGTTGCCGATGCCCAAGCACTCGCGGCATAAAGTATTGTCGGCTCGACCACGGCTGAGTAAATAGTGCGAATTATCTCGGGCTGCAGACCCCACTGGAGTTTGGCAGCACGAGACAATTGTTTATAAAGATTTAAAGCTTTCCGGCAGATATAACTGACGTGGGAGCTAAAGGTCAGTTTTGCATCGATAATCAGTCCTAGAATCTTCATTTCATCGGACATGCCAATGTCGATCCCCCCCATGTTCAGGCGTGGTGTGTCATATTTTAGTTTACGGGTAATTGTTATTGCGGTAGTTTTATGCGCTGCGAATTTTAATTTATTTATGACACCCCACTCTTGAACATGTTGGAGTGCGGCATTGGCTCGTTCTTCTATTTCTAGGGCTGTCTGTCCGTCGAACGCCAGTACGACGTCGTCCGCGAACGCTTGGCAGTAGTGACCCTTCTTTTCCAGTTCATGCAATAGTGGGTCAAGCAAAAGATTCCACAATAAGGGGCCACCTATGGAGCCTTGTACACATCCCTTAGTGGTTCCCCTATCATATTCTTCACCGGCGTATTTAACTTTCACCTTCCTATCTTCCAAATAACTATCCACTACTCTTCGCAGGTTAATGGGACATCTTTCCTCAGCCAATCGGACTCTTATGGCCGGCCACCATGCGCTGTCGAAGGCTCCCTCTATATCTAGTGAAACTAAAGTTATTATGCGTTTCTGTTTTATTTTAGCATGTATATGCTGCATAAGAGTATAGAGGGAGTCTTCGGTGCTCTTCTGGGGCATGAATCCATATTGGCGAGTACTAATCCTTGGCACGAGATGGTATTTTAATCTGGCAACTATCATTTTTTCGTAAATTTTCCCTAGCACAGGTAGTAGACCGATCGGTCGATATGATTTCGGTTCGGTGTAATTGGTCTTTCCCGGTTTCCTGAGAATAACTACCGTGGCTTCTTTCCATGGTTTTGGAAAATGACTATGTTTCAGGCATTTATTTGTTATTGCTAGGAAGAGTTCTGGGTCATTTTCAATTGCTTGTTTACAAATGTCGGCCGTTAAGCCGTCACCTCCGGGGGCCTTTTTCGCGTTAAATGTATTTACAGCCATCGAGAGCTCCGCTTGTGTGAACGGTGGATCCCAGGTATCACTTTGGTGTCCATCGTTTATTGTTGCTGCCATTTCTCTAATATTACTGTGATCTGCATTATCATTTGAAATAAGGTCTTCTGGATAGAAAGTTTCGGCCAACAACTTGACAGAACCCTTCGCGTCCAAAAGCTTTCCTTCATGTTGCAATGGGAGATCTTCTTCTCGTTTAGTAACTCTGCCGATCACTCTGTATATTCCTTGCCACACTCCTTCCTTATCCTGCTTCCCACAAAATTCCTTCCAGCTCCCGACTTCGGCCGCTTTTGCTGCTGTTTCATATTTTTCTTTCTGTTTCAGGTACTCATCGACTACTTTCGCTCTACGAATTGGTGCTGCACAGCGGATCCTGTTCTTCAGTGTGGAGGTCTTCCGTTTCATCTCTTCGAGCTCGTCGGACCACCACGGGATGGCAAGTTTCTCAGTATTTTTCTTTTTAGGTATTGAATGATTGCATGCTTGTTCTATTGATTTTGTGTATTTTTCTACTATTGACTCTATTTCACCTTTACTGTTAATGTTATTTATTTCAGCTATTGTTAATTTTTGTTCCATGTTAAATTGGTTCAGTTTCTCATGAAACTGAGGCCAATTTGCCTTGCGAGTGTTGTATTTTCTAGTGGTTCTTATAATGTTATTAGTCGTTGATTTTTTCCCTTCTATCTTAAATACAATCCCGTTATGGTCCGAGCCCGTGAAGTTTTCATCTACTCTCCATTCTTGTATCCTGTTAATCATGTTCGAAGTACAGGCCGTTACATCGACATGGCTGCTATATCTTATCCCTCCTCTTATTGTGTCGAAAGTTGGAGTGTTCCCAACATTCAGCACATGGAGCCCCATATCGTCGAGAGCTGAAACCATTTCAGCGCCCCTATTGTCATCAGTTATACTTCCCCACCAGCTACTCTTTGCGTTAGCGTCCCCACCTATGACCATTTTATTATGACCCATTTCTTTGACTACTTTTTCTATATGCTCTAGGTATGGCTCTATGGGTAAATTCGGCTCGAAGTAATAGGACACCAGGGTAATTGTTGTGTCACCATCTCGAATTCCCACAACTACCACATTGTCTGTAGTAAATTGCGGGTACTGCGTAACCTTAATATTCGAGTCGAAGACCACTATAGCGGCCTTGACTGTGCCTTCTCCCTGGTGAATACTCTGATATATCCTTGTACCCCGGTAGCTCCTCATACCTCGAGCGTTTCCCACATACGGCTCCTGAAGCAATGCGATAGAAATTCCTTGTTTGCGGGATTCGGTCAGCAACTCTATCGTAGCGAGTTTCTTTCTCTGGAGATTTGCTTGCACTATTGTATACCCCGGGACAACCTTAGCAATACGCTATGGAAGACCTGGCTAAGGCCTCCCATTTTCTACGCACCGGACACTCGGAACTGAATGCGTTATGGTCTACACTGTGATTTTTTGCTTTTTCGCAATTTGTACATTTGGGCGTCAATTTGATTGAGAGATCTGGGCAATCAGTTTTAAGGTGCGGTCCAGCACAGTGGCTGCATACATCGGCTTCTTCGGTACAGAATTTCCGGCCATGTCCATACCCTAGGCAGCGCGAGCACTGTATCAGGGGGACTGGTCGGCCACTCTTATCCTCCATATGTCCACGTGTACAACACCCGCTTCGGTCATTCTCTGCCAAATTATGGGTGAGACCCTGAGTACTACATGAGCAGTTAAGGGGTTCCTCGCTCTTCTCCTGAACCGTATCTCCATGCGATCTTCTTCTTGCTTTATGTCTCCCAGGAGATGGCGATTTTGCGCTCTAATGGCTTTAACGAGGTCATCGTCCGAATAGGACTGCATGACTCCGTATAAGACCACTAGAGGATCCTTATTTTTGATGTCCTCTACGTTCAATTGGTTGCTACCCTTTTTAATTCTTTCCGCTACTTTTTTGATTTCTTCCTTGCTCCTACATCCAATTATCACCTTCCTGTCCTTTGCTTTCCGAATCTTGTCAACTGTTATCCAGCCTTCTTCGTCTTTAACAGCATCTTTAAATTTCTGGATAACTTCATCGCCAGTGTCCGTTTCGTTCGTAGAGGTGACAATCACCGAGTGGAGCGTTGTCGTTTGCGGGGGATTCTTGGCTGTCCAACCCGCTGCCACACTCGCGTACGTAGTGCCTTCAAGCACTTTCTGGTGGTTATCAATCTTGTCACTTAACATTTCAATTCTAGTAAAGCTGTTTCTTAAAAGTTCGCTATGTTCCTTCAATTCTCTACGAAGATCTTCCCCAGTTTGTTCTATTCTTTGCGATTTTGGTTCTTGTATTTTGTTACTTGTTTCGTCGGTCTTTCTAGTCTTAAGCTCTTTCATTTCTCCTCTCAGGCTCAAAATTTCCTGTTGTGTTCTTTCCAATGTGGTGGTCTGTGTTTTAATATATTCTAATAATTCGTTAAGTTTGTGTTCGTTCGATTCTGGTTTTCGCATATCTATTTCCAAATTGTAGTCTACTGCTTCTCCTGTATTGATCTTAATGCTCTGCAGCACCATGTTATATAGACCTTTAGTACTTTTTTGTATTTCCTCCTTTATTGTGCGTTTTATATTTCCAGATTGATTTAGGTTAGTACGAATGTTGTCCACATGGTATTTAGTTTCAGCTAGAATTCTTTCTATGATCTTTGTTTGTTCCATTGGATTATTTAAAGTTTCCTGAGACTTTGAGGTCTTCTCTCTATCCGCTGATGCCACTTCTGTTAACCCTGAGTTCGATTGCGAAGAGTGCGCTTTTGTCAACTTCTTCTTTGCTGGTGCGGCGCGACTCTGTGTAGTCATAAATTTGAGTCGAATTGGTTGAGGCTTTGTTCCTGTCTCAGCAGGCACCTCCGTCGTAAATCCAGTGATGTCTATCGGATCGGCCGTTTCTATGTTGCTATTTAAAGCGATCACATAGGCTTCCGTCGGTGGGGTTGAAGGTTTCGCTTCATAAGTCACGTTTAGCTCGGCGGTCACTTCCCTGTTCGAGTCGGGGCTTGGTCTATTCCCGCAAACACCGATTGTAAAAGAAAATTCCGCAAAAAACCCTTCAAAAGCAAAATAAAATGAATTTAAATCCCCAAGGTCACTAAAATCTATATAGTAAATGAAAAAAGGGAGGGGTGGGGGGCCCTTTTTTTCGATTTCCCGGTGTAAATCGGGGAAATAAACTATGGGGAGGTATATTATACGTAATTACAATGTATTTAAAACAATTTTAGACGAAATTTAGACAAAAATATTTTTTTAACGTAATTATAATATATAAATGAAATTTTTTAATTGAATTCTTAATTATACTTAGACTATAGAAATAAGAAGATATACAACTAAAACTACTTAATTTAGTAACAACAATGCAATTATAAGCGAATTGAGAGACATTTCTAAAAATTTTATATATGCAATAATGTATGGAAAATTCTATCGCCTAAGTAACCTCGGTTTAGGTATTAGTGTAATTTTTCGATTTCCCGGTGTAAATCGGGGAAATAAACTATGGGGAGGTATATTATACGTAATTACAATGTATTTAAAAACAATTTTAGACGAAATTTAGACAAAAATATTTTTTTAACGTAATTATAATATATAAATGAAATTTTTTAATTGAATTCTTAATTATACTTAGACTATAGAAATAAGAAGATATACAACTAAAAACTACTTAATTTAGTAACAACAATGCAATTATAAGCGAATTGAGAGACATTTCTAAAAATTTTATATATGCAATAATGTATGGAAAATTCTATCGCCTAAGTAACCTCGGTTTAGGTATTAGTGTAATTTTTCGATTTCCCGGTGTAAATCGGGGAAATAAACTATGGGGAGGTATATTATACGTAATTACAATGTATTTAAAACAATTTTAGACGAAATTTAGACAAAAATATTTTTTTAACGTAATTATAATATATAAATGAAATTTTTTAATTGAATTCTTAATTATACTTAGACTATAGAAATAAGAAGATATACAACTAAAACTACTTAATTTAGTAACAACAATGCAATTATAAGCGAATTGAGAGACATTTCTAAAAATTTTATATATGCAATGGTTAGGTTAGGTTAGGTTAGGTTAGGTTAGGTTAGGTTAGGTTCTCAGCTCAGGGCAGTTGCTGGACTGCTACTGGGCGCGTCCCCCGGGTGGCGGATAGGGGAATGCCACCACATTGGTGGTACCGGTCTTGACCGGCGCGGACCAAAACCAGCAGGCATGGGCGTGCCTTTAGGGGTTTGTTAACCCCACGGCCTAAGGGAGCACACCCTGACAGAAAAGCGCGGAGGTGGGGCGAGCCCGGCGGGCGCTTAACTGCGCAGCCCGGCTAGCACTTTGTGCAACGCCCCTCTCACATCGTAATCCCGGGACCCGGTGTCGTTGCCATGTCTAGCGGCCGGGAACTGGGACCGATAGCCTCGGCTTAACTGCCCGGGCTGCGAGGAAGAAAACCTCTATAAAAAATTACCCCAATCCCAAGTGGCGGAGCAGCGCGAGGGGATGCGTGGCCGATGGGAGATCGGTCACTACTGCTACCCCCGCAAGAGTACCGGCCGACACTCTTAGCGGGTTACGTGGAGGCTTATCCGCATACAGGGGGCACTGTGCGGACGGACCCACCCTTCCCCCATACTCGTGGGACTAAAAATGGAAAATTCTTTTATTAAACCAAAAACCCAAGACGTAGTGCCTGCGATGGGCGGAGAAGAAGTTGGGCCTGCGATGGGCGGTGATGTTGTCGTGCCAGTGACTGGCGGTGTAAGTAGTCGGCCTGAGATAGGCGCAGGGATGCGTTCCAGAAGTGCGCAAAGAGAGGTGGTTAAACAGCCACAAGTGTTGCTTACCCGGGTAGAGTTGGGGGAAAGCGCACTGAATAGACAAAGTCCTACGTCCTCTTCCGGACGATTCTGGGCGGGTTCAGAGAAGGACTCCGATGGAGAGAGCTTTATTTCCGTAAGTTCGATTGGGAGCGGCGTGTCCCGATTCAAAAAGGATGCGCGGAAAAGACCATACAAGACCAGCGGCCAGTCAAAGTCATCCGATGAAGAGGCAGGGCGGCCTAAAAACAAAGCGGCTGCGAGTAGAGGGAGAGGCAGACCTTCCACGACGGGAGAATACGTTGGCCTGGCAGAGGCGAAAAGGGCTCTCAACGAGGCGAAGAGAGAGGAGTTGAGGCTGAGAGCCGAGGAGGAGGTGGCCGAGATGACGTTGGCAGTGTCCACTAGAGCGGGCTCGCGCCTGTCCGACGTTTCGTCAGTGACACTATTGGAGGAGACTGAGGCAGTATTAGCTACGGACCTGAAGAGGAAAGTGGCGGATAGCCTGGAGATTATCGAGAGTGTTGCCAAAAAATCCGGAAACCTCAAAGGGGGGTTTGTAAAGGCCCTGAAGGAGGCGGCATGGAATATAGCTACCGCGGTGGACACTCTCGCAAAAAGAACAGCGACAGATGAGGTAGCTCATTTAAGAGCCAGCAATGCTCGCCTGAAGACAGAACTCGAGGAGATGCGCAAGGAGTTCGCGGCACTGAGAGCGCAGGTAGAGGTCTCCCGAGCCGACGTGCGACCCTCATCATCCCAAGCGCAGATCCCGGCGAATACCCCGCCACAACAACCGGCGGGTGTGGATGAGCTAGCCCGAACGATCATGGTCCAGGTGGGGACCATGATAAATGCGCGATTTGAGGCGCTTGAGGGCAGGCTCCTACCGGAACAGCGGATTCGCCCTCCGCTGGCGTCTGATGGGGCGAAGGAGAGGTCGGTTCCAAAGGTGGCAGCAAAGAGCACAAAAGTGACGACCCTCACGGCCCCCGCAAATCCGGCACCAGGGCCATCTAAGAAGAAGTCCAAGCAGGGCAATACAAAGAAAGCGGTAGGTCAGCCACCAAAACAACCGGTGCCGCAAGATGCACGAGCGGACTCTGTTCCGTCTACGTCAGCCCCCTCCACTACGGAAGGCTGGAATCTAGTGGTTCGACGAGGGGCGAAAAAGGCAGCGGCTACAAAAAAGCAGCCACAAAAAGTAGCCGTTCCGCAAAAGAAGAAGAAGGAAGGTGGAAAGCTCCGGCCTCCTCGCTCGGCAGCGGTTGTTCTGAAACTGCAGCCTGCAGCTGTCGAGCGAAACGTCACCTATAAGGAGGTATTCGCCCAGGTCAAAACTAAACTCGACCTAAATGACCTGGGCATAAAGGACATCCGCTTCAAGGTTGCTTCCACTGGGGCTAGGATGCTTGAAATCCCAGGTGCCGGCAGTGCTGAAAAGGCAGATACTCTAGCCCAAGCGATTAGGGGGGTCCTGGATAAGGAAGAAGTCCAAATCTCCAGGCCAACCAAATGCGCCGAGATGAGGATCACCGGCCTAGACGACTCAGTGTCGAAAGAAGATATCGCGGAGGCAATAAGCCGGACGGGCGGTTGCACTGCCGATGCAGTCAAGGTGGGGGAAATCCGCCGTGGGACGTCAGGCTTCGGAACGGCGTGGGTCAGTTGCCCTGTGCTAGCGGCCAAGAAAGTGGTGGATGGCGGCCGCCTTCTCGTGGGGTTTGTGTCAGCACAGGTCAAGCTGCTGCAGGCCAGACCCCAGCGTTGTTTCCGGTGCCACGAAGTGGGGCACGTGGCTGCCAAATGCAAGGGCAGTGAGGACCGGAGTAGCCAATGTTTCCGTTGTGGGCAAAGCGGGCACAGGCGCGAGCTGTGCACTGCCGCACCACACTGCCCGGTATGCGAGGGCGTCAAGAGGCCAGCGAACCACATCGTCGGTAGCGCAGCATGTACTCGAGCCCCGGCTCGGAAGAAGAAGGTGGCCAAAGCTGTGGCTAGTGCGCCCAAGCCGCTGACGGAGGGAGAAACTATGGACCAACAATAACGATGGCCCTTAAAGTTCTACAGACGAACTTAAACCACTGCGCTAGAGCACAGGACCTGTTTGTTCAGAGCCTGGTACAGTGGTCCGTACAAGTGGCGGTCGCGGCGGAGCCGTATTGGGTTCCCCCGCGTGACAATTGGGCGGGAGACAACGACGGGTTGGTGGCCATTGTTTCCCAGGTCGCCGCGGGCTCTCCACCCTTTACTCGTGTCGTGAGGGGCTCGGGTTGCGTTGCGGCACTGCTGGGGGACACGGCGGTAGTCGGGGTCTACTTCTCCCCCAACCGATCCGTCGCAGAGTTCGAGGAGTTCCTGGATGAGGTGACGGAGCTCTGTCGGACCCTCCAGGCCAGAAATCTCCTCATCGCGGGGGATCTCAATGCGAAGTCCAGTATGTGGGGCTCATCGACAGCGAACGCTCGGGGCAGGCTGGTAGAAGAGTGGGTTGTCACCACTAACTTGACTATCCTCAACCGGGGGACGGCCAACACGTGCGTGCGACGGCAGGGCGGGTCCATCGTGGACGTAACGCTCGCGAGCCCGGCCTTAGCGCGCCGTGTTCAGGACTGGCGAGTGCTGGGTGATGTGGAGACTCTCTCGGACCATCTCTACATCCAGTTTGAGATCTCCACTCATCCGGCGGTGCCGCCAAGACCTAACCGGACCCTGAGGGAGGAAAGTCCGAGGTGGCAGCTGAAGCGCCTCAAACCAGAGCTGTTGAAGGAGGCGGCGATTATAGCCTCCTGGCTGCCTCAACATGTCGCGTCACCAGAGGAGGCATCACAGCGCATGGAAGAGCTGGTGAAACGTATCTGCGATGCATCAATGCCTCGGTCCGGAGTGTGCCCTCCAAGGCAGCAAGTATGGTGGTGGACTGCAGAAATAGCGCAACTCCGTCAGGACTGCGTTGCTGCCAGACGCGTATTCTCCCATTATAGAAGAAGGGTGCATCGGGATCGAGCAGAGGAGGTCGGTATGCCAGCTACGTGGAGGCAAAGACTCGCCTTTGTGCCCAGATCGCCAGGGCCATAGCGGAGGGAAGGGCCGAAATGTTAGAGGGAATCGATGGAGATCCCTGGGGCACACCGTATAGGTTGGTCATGGGCAAGCTTCGCCCCAGGGCCCCTCCAATTACTGAAACGCTCGACAGGGAGGTACTTCAGAGTGTGCTGGAGAGTCTGTTTCCACACCAGCAAAACTTTGTGCCGCCGCGGATGGCTCCAAGCATAGTGGCTGACGATGACGAAGGGCAGGAGGACGTGCCAGAGATCGACGAGGAGGAGATAGCAGCTGCGGTCTTGCGACTGCGGGGAAAATCCGTTGCCCCCGGGTTGGACGGAATACCAGGCCGCGCCCTAGCCTTGGCCATGGACGCTTTAGGGCCTTGTGTGAGGGGACTTTTCACTGCCTGTCTGGCTCAGGCCATAATTCCACAGAGGTGGAAGACAGGCAGGCTAGTCCTCCTCAGAAAGGAAGGGCGTCCAGCGGAGTCCCCCTCTGCCTACCGCCCCATCGTGGTGCTAAACGAGCTGGCCAAGTTATTAGAGCGCATCATAGTCGGACGTTTGGTCAAGCACATGACGGAGGTCGGGCCAGATCTATCGGACACGCAGTTTGGCTTCCGCGGTGGTCGCTCAACCGTAGATGCCATCCTGTGGGTGAAGTCCCGCGCGCAGGATGCGGTCTCCCGGGGTGAAGTAGTTTTTGCGGTGTCCTTGGACATCGCAAACGCATTCAACTCTTTGCCCTGGGTTTGCATCAGGGAAGCACTCCGACACCACGGGGTGCCCACCTACCTGCGCCGCGTTATTAAAGCTTACCTCTCCGATAGATCGGTGGTCTTTCCTGAGCGGGACGGCTGGGGGAGACGCGAGGTGTCGTGCGGTGTTCCACAGGGCTCGGTGCTCGGGCCGCTCCTGTGGAACATCGGTTACGACTGGGTGTTGAGGGGTAGCACGCTAAGGGGAGTTTGCGTAGTGTGTTACGCGGACGACACCCTCGTTTTGGCACGGGCGAAGAGCCACAGAGAGGCGGCTATATTGGCGACGGCGGGAGTGGCCCACATTGTCAATAGAATACGGAGGTTGGGATTGGAGGTTGCTCTCGGGAAATCGGAGGCGATTTGTTTCCATGGCCCTAGAAGAGCACCTCCACCTGACACCCACATCACGGTCGGCGGAGTCCGCATCGGTTTGTCGAGCACGATGAAGTACTTGGGACTCGTGCTCGACGGCCGGTGGAACTTTCGGGCCCACTTCAAAGCCCTTGCACCAAAATTGATGAAGACGGCGGGTGCACTCGGACGGTTGTTGCCGAACGTCAGTGGACCGAATTGCGCCAGCAGGCGCCTGTATCTTGGAGTCCTGCGATCGATGGCGCTATACGGTGCCCCGGTATGGGCAGATGCTCTCTGTCGCGAGAATGTGGCTGTCTTGCGGCAGTCGCAACGAGTTATGGCGACGAGAGCTATAAGGGGTTACCGGACCATCTCGGCAGATGTGGCGTGCGTGCTGGCCGGAGTAACACCCTGGGACCTGGATGCGCTTTCCTTGGCGTCGACCTATTGTCGGCGTCGAGGCCTTGCGTCCGGGGACCCCAGGCCAGCACCACACGAGAATGAAGAGCGGGATGCCGCAATCGAGGAGTGGCTCGCAAGGTTGGAGCACTCATCGGCTGGCCGGAGAACCATCGACGCGGTTCGCCCCGTCCTCAGGCAGTGGCTGGCGAGACGTCACGGCGTCCTTACCTTTCGGCTGACGCAGGTCCTCACGGGGCACGGGTGCTTCGGCGGATACCTGTGCCGCGTCGCCGGAAGAGAGCCGGATCCACGCTGCCACCACTGTCACGGCTGCGTTGACGAGTCGGCCCAGCACGTACTTGAAGAGTGCCCGGCCTGGGAATCGGAGCGCGAGGAGCTCCGAAGTGTTGTGGGGGCTGACCTGACGTTGCCGGCTGTGGTTTCCTCCATGGTCGGTAGCGAAAGGTCATGGGCTGCCGTCCTATCCTTCTGCGAGGACGTGATGTCGCGGAAGGAGGCGGCGGAGAGAGAAAGGGAGGCGACTTCCGATCTCGCTATCCGCCGCAAAAGGACCGGGCGCCGGAGAGCGGCCCACGATCGCCGCCTCCCCCCCTAGCACCAGCCAGAGGGCGGTAGACTTGGGGAAGTCTGCCGCCTAATCACCTGGCCCGAGTAGGCGCGCGCGGTGTCCCCCGCGCGCTACTCCAGACGTCGTCGTTGAGGGCGCTGCTCCCGCCCTCCGACACCGAGACGTGCCGAAAGGCAATCGCCGTCGGGGTTCGCGGATGATTCTTTAGTTCCCGACCAGGAGGCGAATGAGGCGGACACAGGTTTTAGTGGGTAGGCTGCCGTGCGTTTACCACCTTTTGCGCGGCAGGAGCCCCACATAACCCGTCGTTCTTCCCCAGGCGGCGGGTACCCGGCAACAGGGTTTCCTGACTTAAAAAAAAAAAAAAAAAAAAAAAAAAAAAAAAAAAAAAAAAAAAAAGGTTCTCAGGGCAGTTGCTGGACTGCTACTGGGCGCGTCCCCCGGGTGGCGGATAGGGGAATGCCACCACATTGGTGGTACCGGTCTTGACCGGCGCGGACCAAAACCAGCAGGCATGGGCGTGCCTTTAGGGGTTTGTTAACCCCACGGCCTAAGGGAGCACACCCTGACAGAAAAGCGCGAGGTGGGGCGGGTCCGGCGGGTGCTTAATTGCGCAGCCGGACATGCACCAGGGTGCACCCCCCCCCCTCAACTCGTAATCCCGGTTCCTGGTGTCGTTGCTCACGTCTAGCGGCCGGGACTGGGAACGAGGGCCTTGGCTTAACCGCCCGGGCTGCGAGGAAGAAAACCTCTCTAAAAAATTACCCCAATCCTAAGCGGAGAAGCAGCGCGAGAGGATGCATGGCCGATGGGAAGATCGGTCCCTACTGCTTCCCCCGCTAGAGTACCGGCCGACACTCTTAGCGGGATACACCTAGGCTTATCCGCAGACAGGGGGCACTGTGCGGATGGACCCACCCTTCCCCCATACTCGTGGGATTTAAAATGGAAAATTCTTTTAATAAATCAAAAACCCAAGACGTAGTGCCTGCGATGGGCGGTGAAGACGTTGTGCCTGCGACGGGCGGAGATGATGTTGTGCCAGCGACTGGCGGTGCTGGCAGTCGGCCTAAGGAAGGTGTTGTGTCGCGTGTTGCGACCACGGAAAGAGTTGAGGAGGTTGCGGCAAGACAGCCGCAAGTAGTGCTTACCCGGGTAGAGTTGGGGGAAAGCGCACTTAGTAGGCTAAGTCCTACGTCCTCTTCTGGACGATTCTGGGCGGGT